CTTGCCCCTCTGGTAAGATACATGCCAGTTTGCCATCCTGAGAAAGGATGGTTGCAGGAATAGGTAGCTTACCTGGTCTGGGGCCCCACAAACCCATACAAACAGAAGACCAGTAACTCTCTGATTTTGGCAGTGGTTCCATGAGATCCACCTGCCACCATGTCAGGGGCACTCTCACACAAGTTATCTGCCCATCAGGGTACCCATTTCCTCATCAGGAGCATTCTTTCTCAGGATTATGCAGCACCTGGCAAGCCATCGACAACCCAGTCCTGCAGCCAGCATGCTGCATTCTCCAACGTAGCAACCCAGCTACATCAGCTGCTGGAGCTCTCTCCAGCCACCTTACCTTAGCCAGCGCATCAGCTTCATCATTGCCAATTCAACATGAGGCCTCCGGTCCTCGCCTGCCCCCAAAAGACAAGCACCTTGGCCTGCTCCCTAGTCAGAATGGAACAGTTCATCCGCCTCCTTAGGAGCAATCAAAAAATCCTTTAAGGGCCGGCCCGGTGGTGCACTGGAGAGTGCGCCGCTTGGGAGCGTGGCAGCGCTCCCGCCGAGGGTTCAGATCCCATGTGGAGATCGGATCCCATGTGGAGACCGGTTCCCGCTCACTGGCTGAGCGTGGTGCGGGCGCAACACTGAGGGTTGTGATCCCGTTGCTGGTCCCCGGTACGGGGGCAAAACCAAGGGTTGCGATCCCGTTACCGGTCAGTAAAAAAGACAAAAAGGAAAAAAAAAAAGTCCTTTAAATCCACTGAACGTACCTTGCTACCTGTTTCTGGACATTTGGTGAAATGCCATTCAGGGCGCAATTGCTGCCACAAGGCAAACAGGACCACATTTGGCTGCTGGTCAATTTTCTTTTTATCAACCCCTGCTGCAAGCAAGTCAAGCTACATCTGCTATGGCTAGTCTTGCTTGGTCCCTTCGGGATAAAATCCTGAGTATTTCTTGGGGGTTTGGTCTTAGCCACCTTTCAGACCCCTTTGCTTGTCTCCTATCCTCCACTTCACCCAAGCTGGCTATCATGGTCGTTACCTCACATACAGGACGACCAATGTATGGGGTCAGTATGGCCATCAGTGACCCAAAGGACATTGACAGGGCAATCCGCAGCACTATGTCTCTCATGCTGTCTGTAAAATTTTCATTGTCCGGGCCACAACTGTTCACATTAAACATGGACTGCCACATCCCCAGCTCCCAAATGATTTGGACCAACTCAGCATACGTTTGCCATTCATTCACAATCTCGGGCAGTTCTCCAGCATTTGCCCACACAATTCAAGCAGCTGCACTCACCCATTCCATTAAGGAGTGATTACCTGGCCCTTGGGCATATCTGCAGCTATTCTGCAGCCACTGCCTCAGGGACAGGTGCATGGTGATGGAGGCCAATTTTTCCATTTCCTCACCAGAGCATACCACACTATCCACCCCTAGGTCCTATAACCACAACAGCCAAGCAGCTAGGGTCTCCTCCTGTTTCTCCAAGTCAACTAATTCAACCTGGGTATACAGGACATTGGTAAATTGGGTCACCTGTGGATTGCCCACTAGTTGCCCACCTGGTCCCATAGGCTGCTCATGCTTCATTTTCTGATGCACAACAGGTTGTACCTGGGGACACACAATCTCCCCCAACTCACCACTGGGTTCGTCGTCTTCCCTGGTGTGAGAAGCAGGAGTGGCCAGTCACTGCACATCATCCTCCAGGATAACTGTCCGTGCTTCCAACACCTCTGCTTTCTTCTTCAGCTCTCTATCAGTTTGCAGCAGAGTGAGAAGCAGCCAGGCTCCGGTCAGCAGAAAAGTGGCCACTGGGCACCACATGCTCAAAGACAGCCACATTTCCTCCCCCTCCCAAGGGGCTCTCTGCTGTATTGCCTGGTCTATGCTGGCTTGCAGTGCAGTGAGCAGCAACCAGTTCCCGGTCAATAGGAAAGTGGCCACAAGGCACATGTTCAAAAGTACCCACATTTCCTCCTTCTCCAAGGGCTTCTTGGCGCCTGTACCTGCTCAGAATCCTGCTCTTACTATGCCAATTGTAGTGCTAGGGCTAGGGTTTGGAGCTCACAGACCCTAGCCCTAGCTCTACAACCATTATATGATAGATGTCCTCCTGTGCACCTCTGTACCTCTATAGTGTTTTTGGAAGAAAACCAACCAGCCATCTCAGGTACAAAATCTAAAACATAATTAAACGGGTCTTAATATTCCTAAAATTAAGAAGCTAATCATTAAAACGGAATGCAGTAAACTCAGGTGGCAACCTTTAGAATTCTCACTCATTTTTTATTCACTACCAGGGATTTGACAGTAACCTTAAGATCTCCCTGTTACTCCTTCCATCTGTCCCTGAAATCATTCTCTTATATGGCCTTGATAGAGTCCTGTATTTTTCTATGACATGTAAAAACTAAACAACTTGGAATCAAAAAACAAGATCCATAAATTCCGAGGTGATTAGAAAATGCCTTAAAATGCTACTTACCATTAATGATATATAAAAAACTCCTCTAGAAAAACACTTCCTTCTCCTGTTTTACAACAGTATAATGGGATTTCTGGGATCCCTAGAGAACTACTCCTTTATGACGAGCTTTTAACATCCTATTGCCCTTGCTAATGATGTCTCTGGACTTCATGATAATAGTATCTACCTGGTTATCATGAATTAGCTGCTTTCATCTTTTATGAGCTACACTGAGACCTTTAGAAGGTCATTACTCCTGAGAAAAGGAAGATTACCTGACCCACTCTCGGTAATTCAATCAGTAACCAAAAGTAATCAGTGACCAAGCTGGGACCTGAAGCAACAGAGCATGAATATTCAGGGAACTGGGGACAGCAAGTGTTTAACACTAGAAGTATGCAGTAAGGAATGGAAAAAGATTGAAGATGTAAGTAGCAGCTTTGTTAAGTCATGTTAAGGAATGTGGTTTGTACCTTCTCTTGGAGGAATGGAATAGGGATCATCAAGGGTTTCTGCTGATTTCCACTTCTTCCAGACCACTCAGTGAGTGACATGGACTGCAGACTCCAGAGAGAGTATAGCTCTACATCCATAGCATCTGCACCCACTTGTACACACACACTTAATCCACTTACTTTTCCAAACTCTACAGGACTCTAAGTCTTCTAGTATTATCAAAGCAGAAAATAAAGGGTTGGGTCTGCCCCCACCTGGTTAGATCAGTTGTATCAGTAGGAAAAGTATGTAGGGAAACTGGCGCATAGGTTCTGTATAACCTTTTCTAGATGGAGTGCAGGTAATTGATAAGAATTGGGGCACTACAGAGTTGGGAAGCTGGAGAAGGAAAAGTGTAATATTAAAAATATGATCTGGGCATTTAAAAAAAATAGAATGCTGCCACTCTACAGAGATAAGAGAAATTTCCTAACTGACTTTAAATTAGGTCATTGACACTGAAAAATGAAAGACTAAAAGTTTAACATGCCTATTCTGTTAGCAGATTTGTGTGAGTCCAAGTGTTATTTGCTTTCAACTGATTCTACTCCACTCCTTCAGAGAAGCTTAAAGCATCCATGAGGCAAAGGTCATGTTTGGTCATGTTTGGAAGGCACTGTTAGGTAAATGATGGTAAGAAGCCATTCTAGTTTCTTCCTCCCCATCTTCCTGTTTGAGTCAGGCACATTTATTTCAATTGCTATGAGATTACACCGTGAAAAGATGTATTCCCAGAAGGTGCAATAGCACTGTGCTATCCTTAACAGGTAAATCCAAGGCATACCAGGTCCCAAGTTGATCACTAGCCACAAAATACTTGAATAACTTTTTAGGTGAATTTCTAATAAACACCAGGAAGCCATGGATTTTCTTCACAAAATATCAAAGTGGCTTGAGACTTGGGATGCTTCTAAGACATTGTTGTTGCTGTTGAATTTCCTTTCTCAGGGAATGAGAGAAACTAAGGTTTATTGTGTACCTGATATCTACCAGTTACTCAGGTGGGTGCTTTATACAATTTGTTCATAAAACCCTATATATCAAGTATTATTATTATTATCTTCATTTTATAAGTGAGGATGTTGAGGCTCAGAGAGGATGAATAATCTGACCAAGGTCTTGCAGAGTAATAGATGTTGCAGGCAGTATTGAAACCCAAGTCATTTTGTTTCTAAAGAAAAACACATGTTCTTGGTTGGGTGGTTAGCTCAGTTGGTTAGAGAGTGGTGTTGTAACACCAAGGTCAAGGGTTCAGATCTCCATACTGGCTAGCCACTAATAATAATAATTATAATAGTGAAGATAATAATAAAACACCTGTTCTTTTCATTACCCCACATTTTTATTTCAGTGACCAGATACACCTATTTTTCTAGTCTAGAAAGTTTAGATCTATCAAATTTGTGAACTTAGCTTTCTAAATTCATGAATCACCATAAGTGAATTACCTGAGAGACTATTCAGTCCTTTGCTTTAGAGTAACCATAAGCTTTTCTACCTTGCTCCAGGTTGAAAGTATACTAGGTTAATCGTTCCCAAATGATGAAGTTTTCACTATCGTTGGCAAAAAGAGAGGAAAACAGACAATGTAGCCAGTTTTTAAAATAATGCTAAAGTTATGAACATAAACAACTTCCCTTTATTATGACCTTTCTCCCCTACTCCTGTGGGTGTGTGTGTTCTGATGTCTTTTTTCTTTTTTAATGAAATAATAGAGCTAGTAGAAGGCCATTTGCTTCTTAATGTGCTTACCTGATAAGAAGTGGGGAACTCCACTGAAAGAGTGGTAACTAATGCACACAACCAAAATTTTAAAATGTGATTCTATTCCCCAATGTACTGTTCAAATTTGTTAGATACATCTTCCCCTGACCCTGAGTGAAATCTTGGGCAGCCACTATAGCTTCTCTGCTGACTTTAAGTTAGTAAGATTTTCTCTGGTCACATGCAGTCACAATAATAGTCTTTTTAATAATTAACATCTTAAGACTAGTTAATAATCAAAACTCTGGACTTCACAGTGTTTTCCTTCCCCAACTCGGATTTGCTCCAGGCTGGAAACCTGCAGTTGAGAAGAGAGAGATGTGGTGACCTTTTCTTTCTACCTTTCTAGCTACCCTCTATACCCCCATCTTAAATACATTTTGAGCAGTGTCTTCTGACTCTACCAGGTTTGGGGGTGAGAGGAAGTCAGAATAAAACAAAGAAATGGTTTTAATTAATGGCATAGCTAACGTGTGGCTTTAGTTCTCTTTGCACATTGGCACATTTAAAGCTGATTGTTCTCTTATGAGAGTTTTTATGTTATCCAGCCACATTTTTACCTCTTGAAAATTTTCTCAGTGGGCTATTTACCATGCAAGATCAAAACAAGTATCTGTTGAGTATGAACTGTGTGTCATGCACTGTAAGAGGTGCAAGGATACTTATCCAAACTCCTGGAACCCTAAACACAATGCAAAAGGACATGCTAGAAAATAAACTTTCAATCTGAATAATCATATTAACTTTAATTTTTCAACTGTATTTGACCATACAGTCTTACTTTACAAGGTAATTGCAACTGTGAAAAAGGGATACGTCATTAATAGTCTCATTTCCCAGATGTTATCTGATAGATATTGTCATATAATTATTACTGTATGTAATATGTAATTATGTTAGCTCCAATACAGTGTGCACTTTGAACTTATAACAAAAAAAGTTTTTTATAGAAAAACTGTCTTCAGACAGAATGAATTCTAATACTTGAAATAAATATGCACGCAAATTGTAGTTTAAGGCAGGGTAGGTATGCTTATCATGTTTTAATTCAGTTGAATTTCAGAAGAAGATCTAAGGAATTTATGGAAAGAGAAACTAGAGTGGCTTCACATTAGAGTAGTTAGGTGATCTGTTGAACTTTAAACTTCCACATCACACTATGATGTTGGTTTTACGATAAGAAATAGAATAAATTCTCTCTTAAGAACAGACATGAACCTCTGATTACCTAGAGGGTGACTCAACTGAGATCATGGCGTTTGATGGTAGTTGGAAGGTAGACCGTAGTGAGAACTATGACAAATTCATGGAAAAAATGGGTAAGAATTTCATTGCTTAGTGGCTCATTCTTTCCTTTATCACAGACATTTTTCTTTCTAACTCTTAAATCTCTAGTCTTAGGGAATGGCTCCTGAAGTAATGGTAAGGATCCAGAAGGTGGGATGGTTTAGAGTAGGGAAACTACACTCTCACTTCTTACATTAGGAAGAATACACTATCTCACTAAGTGGAAGGAAAGATTCTTTTGGTACTGTCCTCTAAAACATAAAAAAAGATCCAGATATGTTTCCTTCACTCTTTAACTGCTGATTGTACCTGTATCATTGAAAACTGAATGTTTTTGTTTAGAGTAAGAAAGTGACATTGTGTAATGATAACTTCCAGATTTTAAAACATTGAATTCTCGGGGATAGAAAAGCAAAGACTATATAATAAAGTAATGGAAAGGAGTTCTATCAAAATTCACAGCTTGGAATAAATTAGATTTCTCATTTCCTCTGACTTAATTCCTTCTGAGATTATTTGGGAATAATTTCAAGAAGCTACTTTCTTTGGAAGTTTTTTTTTTTTTTTAATTGAAGCATAATTAATTATACATATTTTGGGGGTACAATGTTGACTACCATTACCTGTAATGGAGGTTTTAATTTAACTGATTTATAAAACTATCAATACTCTGGCAGCCCATACACTATACAAGATGGGCAGACAAATTTGTGTAATTCTCCCAAAATAAAAATCTGCATCAATTATATCTACAGTTTAGGGATTCCAAGTTTAAATTTATGGAATTTGTTCATTCTTATAATAATTAATTTTGCTATATAATTTGCTAAGTTTTCTCATTTTTGTGTCAATCAGAAATGCCACAAAAATTCAGTGAGTGAATCTGTATAAAAAAGAAGAAAATGCCACAAAAAGCAAGGAGAATTATGAAGTTCAAATTTTAAAAGCCATTATACAAAGCAAAGGGGCACTTAAAAAAAAAGAATACTGTATATGCAGAATTAAAGTTGTGTCCTCATAAATCTATAAATATACCTTTTAATTCTTCATTTGACAGAATTTTATTAACTTAACACTGAAACAAAAAGTTAATTAATATCTGATTGGGCTTGAACTTTTTCTACAGAAGCAATCTGAATGCTCTGTGCAAAGACAATACTGTTGAGTTTTCTTCCCCACCCTCGAAATAAAAATAAGCAAATAAATAAATAAGAACTTGGAAAAATAAACACTTTCTATGGCATTTTGACTTTATTTTCTCCTATCTCTTTCCTTTTTCAGGTATTAATATGGTGAAAAGGAAGCTTGCAGCTCATGACAATTTGAAACTGATAATTACACAAGAAGGAAATAAATTCACAGTCAAAGAATCAAGCACTTTTCGAAACATTGAAATTGTTTTTGAACTTGGTGTCACCTTTAATTACACGATAGCAGATGGAACTGAACTCAGTGTAAGAAACTTTTTTATAAGCAGTGCATTCTTGATTTTACTACCCAATACTAAAACAATCTCTGTTTTATATCATTAGATAGTTTAATTAATGCAGGTCTCCTTCATTTATTGAAGAAGTCAATAAAGTTTGTCCACATTATAATTGCACAATTTGGCAGATATTTAAATGCAATGTTTTTCTTTTCACACACATCTGTGAAAAAACTACATTGAACAATGAGAATTAGAAAAATATCTTTCTAATGACTGAGTATAGATCTATTCATTAAAAAATTTAAAGCTCAGTGTTCTCAAATTTACATATCCAAAAGCAACAAAAGCTTTGAGAGTTACATAATTAAACAAAATAGCCATTTAATAAATGTATTGAAATAATAAAATACATGAATAAATTAATGAATAAGTGAGTAACCAAATGCAAAGGTCTAATGCTACATTGTAGGTCATTGGTAATGTACCTTTTCATATATAAGATAAAAAATTTTAGGACGTCATCATTTTCAACCAACTTTTTAAAACTTTTTTTAGCCTCAAAATTTTTCTAATTAAATAACATACGTTTGCAATGACAGCTTAACTGTTCAATGTTTTATCAATTATGCCATTCTTTATTACCACAGTCACGTAAATTAAAACAAGCACAGGGTTGTTAGCCTGTCCATGAAACTAACTTGAACCATGACTAAATTTAGGACAATCTTATTAACTAAAAGATTTAGAAAAAAGAAGACTTGCTCATCTGTCTTAAAATTCAACATATGGAAATTAGTAAGGGAGATGAGCATAATGGTTATCAACACATACTCTAAAGCCCTATAGCCTAGGTTCAATCCTGGCTATGTGACTTTGGCTGAATTAGTCTATGCATTTTACAGTTTCCTCATCTGTAAAGTGGAGACAACAGTAACTACTTCATAGGGTCACTCACCATAAAGATTAAATGAAAAAGTGGGTCTACAGAACTCAGCATAGTGCATGACATGTGTAAGAGCCTAATAAATGCCTTATTGTTGTTGTTGTTTTTGTTATCTAGGGGACCTGGATCCTGGAGGGAAATAAATTTGTTGGAAAATTCAAACGGTTAGACAATGGAAATGAACTGAATACTGTCCGAGAAATTATAGGTGGTGAACTAGTCCAGGTGAGTTGTGAAAAGATTTATAACTATTTTCCAAAGATAAAAATAGTTATAAACAATATTTTTTTGCCATTACTGAGTTATATCTTTACTAAATAGACTGTTATTTCTTTTCTCATAAATCTTACTGATTCTAAAAATACAGATATTTTAAGCCTATTTATTGAAGATAACATATATATATATCAAATACATCAATGCCTATTTTGACTAAAAATGTAAACTGCAAACCAAAATGTGTTTTTAATGGATGTATCCTATATCTGTATAAAATATTGTTGTCAAGTACAAGGAATAAACAGTATAAATTCATTCAAAATTATAATAATATGAATATTTTTCTTAATTTAGACTGAAATGTTAATGGCAAATTCTTTTGTTTGTTAACATCTTTCAGACTTACATGTATGAAGGAGTAGAAGCCAAGAGAATCTTTAAAAAGGATTGAGCATTGTTCTTGAAACACAGCCCAGAATACAAATTAGATGGAAGATCTATTTTGTACCAGAACTATTTTTTTCTCCCCATCAATAAAAGGTTACTGATTATTCCTTTCATATGTAAACATTGGTATATGTCCATTCTTGCCAAAACAAAAAGAGGTAAAAGCTAATTAGGATTTTCTTTGTTTTACATTCTCTAAGATATACATTTATTAGTATTCTAAAAGAATTTGCGACATTTTTTAAAGCTGAAAAATATTGTTTCCACATGGCTTTAGAACAGCCTCTCCTTTAAAAAATATGTATATATATGTGACATATGCATCAATAGTTTGTGTAGTTTTGTTTTTGTCATCATTTTCACATTTGGTAAACTAACATGGGCTGCATGGTCGTCTAAAATCTTGTACTGGTTGTGAATAATTTCCTTGTAACATCTATTTTTATAAAAGTAATACATTCTTAACCAAAAAATCTTAGAAATAAGGAAAGCAAGTGCAAAATAAATATTTCCATAAACTCACAATCCAGAAATAATCACATTCTAATTGTGAGAGATAACATCCCAGTCCTCCTCTCTGGGTGTGGATATTTCCCAATACATATCACTTTGAATAATATGATAGAAAACAAATGATGTACGAACTTAAACAATTGTATTATATTTGTCTACACTGTCAGTGATTCCCAGACCTAGCTGAAAATCAGGATCACCTGAAAAACTTAAAAATTTTCGCATATTTAATCTCCACTGTCAATCTACTAGATCAGAATCTCTGAAAATAGGGCCGGCCCAGTGGCGCACTGCTACAGTGCGCCGCTTGGGAGCGCGGTGGCGCTCCTGCTGAGGGTTCGGATCCCACATACAGACCGGTTCCCGCTCACTGGCTGAGCGAGGGGCGGGCGCAGCACCGGGGATTGCGATCCCGTTGCCGGTCCCGGTCCGGTACGGGCGTGACACTGAGGGTTGCGGTCCGTTGCCGGACATGAAAAAAGACAAAAAGAAAAAAAAAAAGAATCTCTGAAAATAGGACTAGGAATTTTTTTTAAATTCCTGTGATTTTGATGCACCCTGTCCACTACCAAGTCTTTGAAAATGATGGGGCTATCAGATAACAAAAATGTCATTTAACTGCTCCTTTTTTTTTTTTTTTTTTTGCATAAACATGTATAGTACCAATTTGCCAGGGCCCCAGAAAGTTTCCTTATTTTCACATTTTCATATGATGTTCAATTTTATGTGTTTCAAGCCATTGTATTTTAGTGGGGTGTATATCAGGGGCAGAGAAACAGGTCAATTTTTTAAGCATTTGCAACTCTATGGACTTTTGTTTTGACAAATTCTTTTTCATACTGATATAGATAAAAACTAACATTTGCATAGTTCTTATTACGTGCCATGCGCTCTTCTAAGAGTTCTACACGTATGACACATACATTACAATGTGGAAAGAAAAACATCTGAGTACACAATGGAAATGAATGGACTAGAGAATATGTAATTTGCAAAAACAAAAATTTAAAGGCACCGTTCATTTTATAGGTTTATAAAAATCTTCACATAGGAAATAGTAATTATTTAGATTTTCACATGCATTTTTTTCATAAAGGTTCTATGCATTTTTACCTCTCTAATCTTACTTATCTACATAAGTAAAATAGGAAAAGGACAGGTATTAATCTCATTTGAAAGTTGAGAGACAATGGCACAAAAAGTTTATTAGTTTGTCTAATGTCGTACAGAGTCCATAATGAACACCAGAATAAAATGTAGGTCTTGACTTTTAGTCCAGTACATTATGATCTATGCTATTACTCAGCCTGTTATAAACAAAAATATCTTGAGAAAAAAATGTCCCTTAATTCCTTGTTGGCACCCAAGAATAGCACTCCAAATGAATCAGGTCAGACTGTAAAATAATGGCAATTCAGTGGTTAGACACTTATCTATTTCTAGTCTCATCACAGGCTTACTTTTTTTTACAATTTATATCCTTTTTAGTATTAAATTTCACTATTTATTAGGCTGCTGGAGGGCAGCCTAAGTGGCTGCCATTTCAATAACCCCTTTTTGGGAAAACTGACCTTGTCATTACACCACCCTGCTTGGCCAAGAGAGGGTGCCTGACCCAAGAGCAGCCAAACTACCATAATTTGGCCAGCTCTGGGCAGAAGGAACAATAGCAACTAACTGAACGTAAAAAAAAATCTCTTTTTAGGTAATTTGAATTTGATAAATATGAAGGTAACTCAAAAAGTTCACAGAAAGATCATATTATCATTTAATTCCAATTTTCCATGAACTTTTTGAAGTACCCTGGTACACAGTTAGTAGTTGGTAGGAAAGATAAAGATTTAAAGAAGACAAAGAGGTCAGGCAATAAGTAGAAGTCTTGAGTATGTGAAACTGTAAACAAGCAGGAGCCATACTGTAGACAGCAGAATAGAGGGGCAGTTAGTTAAAAGCAGATGAAGTAGTAGAAGCTAAAATATTTACACATGAAATATGGTATCAGGGATTTGCCTAAATTGCTTTCTCCCCAATCTAGGATTGGTGAGAAAGTGGCAAGAGGTATAGTTGAAACATGATTGTTCACAAATTGACAATTCTTGCCACTGTTGAAAAGTGCCTGACACATGATAACACATGATAGGATCATTGGAAACCTAGTAGGAACATGGGAATTCATTATTCTCTTCTCCATACTTTTGTATGCGTTTGAATTTTTCCACAACAAAAAGTTAAAAATATAATATTTACATATATGTGTTAAGTCCAGAATCCAACCACTTCGCATCACCTTCACTGCTATCACTTTAGTCTGAGCCACAATTATCTTTCCCCAGATTACTGTAATAACCCCTAAAAAACCTCCAAACCTTCACCTTTCCTATCACACCCATTTAGTCTCTTTTTCAACACAGCAGCCAGAAGTATCCTTTAAAAATCTAAATCAGATGTCACTTCTCTACACGAACACTGCAGTAAATTTCATTCAGAGAAAAAGCCAACGTCCTTACAATGGCCTATAAGATGAAGGGCCTGTATGATCAAATCCCCCATTACCCATCTGACATATGGTCCTGATTTTTATGGACTATCTGGGGCAAGAGTGTTCCAAGCAGAGGAAACACCCTATAGCAAAGGCCCTATGGCAGGGGCAGGCCTGGTAAATTTGAAGAAGATGGATAGGCTGGTAAGAGCCCCAAGATCATCCAGATCTGAATAAAAACACGACCAATGTTCAGGAAGTATGGGCTGATTCAGCCTTCCTAGAATTCAGGAATGATGTGGTGAAAAGAATGGGTTTTAGAATCACAGACTTGCCTCAACTCTTGTCTTTCCACTTACTGACTAAAATTCAAGTTCTGATCCTCAATTTTTCTCACTTGACAAGTAGGAAAAATAATGATTTTCTGAGACTGTTATTAATTGGGGTATTATGTATGAAACATCTAGCACTATGCCTAGCATATAGCTGACACTCACTAACTTTAAGTAACATAAACATGTGCCATCCTCTTGGAGAGAAAATGGAGCAAAGTAAGTCTTGAGTAGATGGGAAAACTCTTCTCAAATTATCTCTCACAGAGATGTCATCAAGATGGTGGAACAGACAGTTCCCTGCATCACTCTCTCCCACAACCAATAATCTGCGACTATTAAAAGGCAACGACTGCAAACCTGGGACGGCTAGAACTCAGGGGAAGAGGAGGAAAGACCTACAGAGTTAGTGAAGGCAGGAGAAGCCACGGTGAGAGAAAGAAGGGACTGCTTCAATCATTTCAGGGCCAGCCCCAGTGACGGGAGAGAAGAATTTGTAGCACACAGAGCAGGAGCTGACAAAATCCACAGCTGTGCCCTTTGTGTGAAGTTGGTTGGAGTCTGTAGGGGAGAAGAGGACCTTGGAATGCACCATACCAGCCCCCAGGCCAGTGAGACCACTGGCAAGGTTCCTGTGGACTCACATAGGATGAGGGGCCACAGCCAACTCAAGATAGGAGTAACCCAGATCCTGGTGAGTCATCCCAAGGAATCAGCACATAGCCCACCCCATGGGAAGTGCATGGAGTACAGGGGGAGGCTGGTATACCAGGGGAATATTGGGGTGCAGAACGGGCAGGTGATCTGCCTTCAGATCAGCACAGACCCACTCAGTGAAGACTGGTTAGGGAGATAGAAGTGTAGGGGACACAGTTTGATGGAAAGACTCAGTCCTGGGTCAGAATTTCCACACAACCCAGGTGAATCTGACCTCACAAGACCTGGAAGTGATTAAAAGGCCAACAGTTAAAATCTGAACTACACAAAAAGCCTTCCCCAGAAAATCAGCATCAAAGCTGAAATTTAACTCAATCGCAGGGTACAACTGCTGGTCCTCACAGGAAGTTCCGCCAATTTTGGAATTAACCAAAGGAAAATTAGTCCCAGTGCAGAGTTTAAGTGGCAGCAGTAGATAATAATCCAACACAGAACTGTGGGAAAAGAAAAAAATCAAAAAACAAAAAAACACCACAGATCAGAGACAAAGCTCTGGTATTAACCAGTAAAGGTCTAACACCGTCATGGCAAAGTATACCTACAAAACCTAGAAGAGGTGGCAGTCTCCTGAAATGCCCAGGCATCAATGTGAAGACACAAAGATTGAGAAAGAACAGAGAATTATGACACCATCAAAGGAAACAAACCAAGCACCAGCAATGGACCCAGAGGAATAGTGGATGTATAAAATGTCTGACAGAGAATTCAAAATAACCTTCTTAAGATATTCAGGGAGTCACAAGAAAATATAGATAGAAAATTAAGTGATATCTGAAAAAACAATCCAAGAGCAGAATGAGAAACTCAACAAAGGAATTGAATCAATTTTTTTAAAAAAATAGAAATTCTAGAAATAAAGAATACTCTATCCAAACTGAAAAACTTGTTAGAAAGCTCCAACAGCAGACTTAATCAAACTGAGGAAAGAAACAGTGAGCTTAAAGATAAATCATATGAAATTAT